TGTCCAAAGCTCAAAAGGTGTTTTTACAGCTGATTTACTAGGAAATGTGTTTAGTGTATATATATATATATATATATATATATATATATATATATATATATATATATATATATATATATATATATATATATATATATATATATATATATATATATATATATATATATATATATATATATATATATATATATATATATATATATATATATATATATATATATATATATATATATATATATATATATATATATATATATATATATAGAGAGAGAGAGAGAGATGTTTTTAAAGCATCGCCCCATAAAAATCATAAAAATTCTGGTAAATTACACCTACTCATCATGCTTCTCATCATATCCTTAAGAGTGTGGTTTCGTCTTTCGGCTACACCATTTTGTTCAGGAGTACCAGGCATGGTGTATTGTGGAACAATTTCAAAATCTTGCAAGTATTTTACAAAATGCCCCATATTTTGTTTAGTAGAATCATATCTACCATAATACTCTCCACCACGGTCAATACGCACCACCTTTATCACCATTCCTAATTGCTTTTCAACCTCAGTTTTAAAGATTTTAAACTTTTCAAGTGCTTTCTGATTTTTCCTTAATCAAGTAGAGATAGCCATACCAGGAAAGTTTATTAATGAAAGTGATAAAAGATTTATTACCACAAATAGTGGGAGAAAAAGGGTCGCTAATGTTTGTATGAATTATTTCCAAAAGGTCTGAACTTCTTGTTGAACCCTTCTTATTGGTCTTAGTAAATTTTCCTCTAATTTAATCCACACAAGTCCCTAAATTATTGAAATCTAAGGAAGGTAAGATATCATCTCTAATTAACCTTTCAACTCTTTTTTTAGAGATATGGCCCAAACGTTTGTGCCACAACAAAGAGGATCTTTCTATAATTTTAAACCTTTTAGTAATGGAGCTTTCAACATTCAAGGATGAGGAAATCATATCACTATCTAAAGACAACATATACAAGCCATCCAACAAGATACCATCACCAACAGCTTGAGAATTCAACATCAAGTTTACTTTTCCATCATCAAAGGTAAATTGAAATTCAAACTTATCCAAACAAGATACTGAAATTAAATTCCTCCTAAAAGAAGGTACATAAAATGTATCTTTCAAAACCAGTTCCTAGAATTAACCAAACATCTCCCACTAGCTCCACAACGACTTCAAGATTATTTCCTACCCTGAGCTTGTTTTCCCTCGAATTTGGTCTTCGTTGGCTTCTGAACCCATGTAAAGACACAACAATATGGGTTATAGAACCACTATCAAGCCACCATAAATTAATGGGAACATCAACTAAGTTAGACTCAAAACAGACAAAAGCTAAATCACTTCTTCCCTTCTTATTCATAGAAAAGATCATTGTTGAAACAAAACAGAAATGCATTAGAACAAATAATAAAGGTAAAATATAGCTTTAATGAACATAAGCTATCACGTAGAGGCCAACATTATCTCGCAATCCCCTTTGGATGGAATGCACAAAATCCAAGTTACAACCAAGATTAGAACCTCAGATGAGTTACTCAGTGAGCAAACATTGAGTTCGAAAATCTATCTCTTTTAGATAGATAAATTCTCTAAACCAAAACACCTCCAATAACTTCATCCACAAATTTAAAGAATAAGCTACTCAATGAGCATACATTAAGTTTAAAAAATTATCACCTTTGGGTAAATAAATCTCTTGGCCCAAACATCTCCTATAGTTATATCTTTAATCAACCACAATATGTACATACAATTGTCCACCTTTGAAAAAACAATCATAGCAATGACTTAAAATTATTCCTCAAACTACGAAGAGACTTTTATAAATTAAAATAAGCGATTTGAATTTGATGGTAATCACAAACAATAATTTATAAAAAAATTCTTGCTAATAATCAAATTTATCTCATGAACCAATCTTGATATTATAGGAATACTACATAGTATTTTAAAATATTTGATCAAAATCATATATATATATATATATATATATATATATATATATATATATATATATATATATATATATATATATATATATATATATATATATATATATATATATATATATATATATATATATATATATATATATATATATATATATATATATATATATATATATATATATATATATATATATATATATATATATATATATATATATATATATATATATATATATATATATATATATATATATATATATATATATAAAATAAAATAAAATTTCCAAGATGATACAATTAAAATTAAATAATAGTTTAATATATAATTGTATACGGTATATGACAAAATCATATTAACCAATATAGATTTAATAAAATATCAAGGATAATATAATTGAAAAGTCACTAAAAAGTGACTACTAAAATAATTTAAAATAGTGAATTTAAAATATATAAAATAATATCATTTAAAATAATGACTTTTGTATAATATAACTTCACTAATAATCATGTATGTGTCACCATATATTACTTTGAAACACGTAATAGTGTTTTACTAGTGTATTGTAAATTAGCAGTAGTTCGTATATTATAATATAAAAAGAAATTGTTAATTAATATATATATATGGATTTGTTTTAACATATTAACAATTTCTTATATATTTTGTTAATATAGAAACCAATATTCAGTATCAATATCATTAGCTAATAACCTAATTGAGAACTCCGCCGTTCAATTGGGATTACTGTATCGCTAGGAATTCTATATGAAAGGATATCAAAGTTGTTATCAAAATATATACTGCGCGTTACTAGCAATCGAACTTAATGGGTTTAATATGAAAATTTATCAAAATTATTCGATCACTGAACAATCCATGGAATTTAATTAAGACTAAATAGATTGAATTCTAGCTCATATATGAAATTAGAACATTAATACTTACTCGTTGAAGTCATGATTTAAAATCGCAAAAAGATGAATGTCAGGATCTTCCTCTGTATCTCACACTCACGTTCATAACTCTCAATAGAATAAATTGTAGAGCCGTCAATTATGTTTTTGATTCTTATTGTGATTACAGAGGGGACCTACCCATTATGAACATAAAGTTAAAGCCCACATTTTTGCTCACACCAATCAGATTTCAGACACTCAACTTTTAATTAAAACAGATCACTTAATCAATAAAAGGACTTATATATACAACCCATAAACTTTTAATTAAAATAGATCACTTAACCAATAAAAGGACTTATATATACACCCCATCAGAATTACGATTAACCCGTTTTTAACAAACTAAACAACAATTGATTGTAGCCCATAAAAAATTAGATAATTTTAACATGATACAATTTTCTCGACTAGATTTTTTTGGATAGGACAAAAATAAATTGGATAATGTGTCTTTGTAATAGTTTTTTAAAAATATTTCATACACGATTTATATTGAAATCAGAAATAAATTAAGCCGTAAAATGAAATATAGTTCTAAAAATGAAAGAATTGTATGTGTGAAAGTGCATCTCAAAAATACATTTTTGAAATCTGAAAATATTTATGAAAATTCACATGATACACTAAAAGATTATATGACGCATTAAAAAATTCTGATGATTCTGCCTTCTATTAGGCCTATTAAGGTATAGTCTCCTTTGGATGATGAGGTTGGGTTTTCTGCCTTCTATTGGACCTGATAATTGGCCCAATCAATGAGTTGGGTCGTAGAAACAAGTTTTACAACAACTAAAATATGTGTGTATAGTTAATTTTGGGAATGCTCTTCCCTACTTAGTGGTGAAGACGCGTGAAAATTCAAAAATGCCCTTCAAAATTTCAAAAATATACTTCTGTAAGATTTCTTTAAGATTTGTATTAAGCTATACATTACATTAGTTTTAAATTAGGCTATACAATAGCAATCACAAATTTACAACTGTAACTAAAGTTTCAGAGAGGATTCTATTGTAACAGTGCAATTATAATTGCTTGTGCATTTGTATTTATTGATTTTGGTAATATATCAAAATTGTCAGCATAACTACAAAATTTTCCACTGCACCCATAACAACACAGAAAGCTACCTATCACATTACAAAGAGAGAAGAGACACCAAATACCCCAAACTAATGATGCTTGCTGGAGAGAAAAAAAAACAATTACAATCACACTTTTCTGATATTCCTATTTTATTCAACTTGTTCCTTTGTTTTTTCTTAGCTTTTTTTTTTCCCCATGGAAGTATACTGAGTTTATTTGGAAAGTATATTTCTATACTATTTTTTTACAAAATAAATTTGGCCCACTTGCAAAATGCTATTGTATTGTACATTTCCAAATTTTAGGAACTATTACTAATTTGCAACAAGCAATTTCCTTAATTTCCAAATATTTAAATAAAGATTCAATTGTTAAGTAGGTTCTAACTCAAGTTCTGACCATTAAACTATTAAATAAATCATTAATTTCCAAGTATTAGAACAATGATACTCCAACTAAATCAAGCTATAAATAATATACACCGACCAACATAACATCTCAATACAAGCAGACCCTCCCTAATATTGCTGCAATTTAATTCTTCTAATAGACTTGAAATTTCCACAGTTTTGGAGATTGTGAATAAGTGAAAGAAAAAAAGCAATTGTGGGTTTATATTGCAATTTCAGGAACTTCTAGAGAGATTTATATAATGCTGGTTATCAACCATAAAACTAAAAATAATTCATTTTGAATCAGTAGTGTGCCAGGCAAGTAAAATGGAATGTGACTTGCAGATCCTTTCCAAACAAGTTGCTTCAATGATATATAATGAAATAAAATAAACAAAAGCAGAAATAAAATAAATGAAAAAGGGAATTAACATCCAAAAACCCAGAACTCTATCAAAAGTAAATAAATGCCAAGTAGAAGACTGTAACCCACCTAGGACAAGAGACTGACATTTATGGTCTATATGAAAATCATTTCTGGTTTCAACTTAACTACGACTTCAGCAAGGAAATTACAGTAGCCATTTTAGTAATCATAAATCTGCTCTGCCAGGGTACCTTGGGAAGGGAATCACGTCTCTAATATTTTCCAGGCCGGTGGCAAAAAGAATCATCCTTTCGAAGCCAAGACCAAATCCAGCATGTTTCACAGTTCCGTACCGCCTCAGATCTAGGTACCATTCATATGGCTCAACAGGCAGATCCATCTCCTTTATTCTGTAACATTTTATATCAGGGAAAACAAAGTAAAATACCCCTTACAAAAGGAAACAAAGTAAAAATAGCACATTTATGCGTTATAGGGTAAACAGAAATTAGAATTTACCTTTGTTGAATGACATCATAACGCTCTTCCCTTTGGCTTCCACCAATTAACTCTCCAACCTGAAAATGCATTTACATGTTTCTATTACGCCAACCACAAAAGCCACAAGGTATAAAATATATCTCATTTGTATCCCTGCTTAGGATCACAAAGTAAATCAAGTTTTCTGATAAAGCATTTAAACCTAAACCATGATGGATTGTTCTGTAGTCTTTTTTATTCTTTATAGATTTCTATATCTGGTCTACACTCTTGACGGACTTCTATAGTTATTTTCCCGCACCATAGAAGTGTTGAAAATAAAATATAAGGGATACATACCTTTGGGACAAGAACATCCATAGCAGCTACTGTCTTTGAGTCATCATTGAGGCGCATGTAGAATGCTTTGATATCTTTTGGATAGTTATAGACTATGACAGGCTTCTGATACTTAACTTCTGTAAGGTATCTGCATATCATAATCCAAAGGCATCAAACAACATCACACAACACAATTTAATAGGAGGAGTGATAAGGTGGCTTGGTGGTTATATGGGTTCAACTCCACACACACAAAACTAGGAACTAACATTTGTCATTAAAGAAAAAACATGATTCAATAAGAACTTAAAAAAAACAACTGTAGAAGTACCTTTCATGCTCAGAAGCTAAATCGATCCCCCATTTTACTTCATTCTCAAATTTCTTACCATTCTTCACAGATTCCTCCAGTATTTCCACGGCTTCTGTGTATGAAAGTCGAACAAATGGAGAGGAGGCAACCAATTTCAAACGATCAATGCAACCTTTATCAATCTTGTCAGCCATAAATTGCATATCTTCAAGGCAGTTGTCAAGCAACCACTGACACAAAAATTTCACATATGCCTCAGCACAGTTCATATCATCCTACACACAAAAAGGTAAATTATTATTTCTGCCACATCAAAAGCAAAAGCACCAGTAATAGGAGTATGGATGAGGTTTGCAATTCAACATTGAACTAGAAAATTAAGTTTATTGCACAAAAAAAATTAATTATTTGAATTGAAATGAAGTCGATAGGTATTCCACTAACAACAACAATAAATAATGCAATTCATGGTGAAAATTTTGATAGTGAGAAAGGTATGAGAAAACATTTTATTTCAATAAACTTCAAACAATTGTCAGTGATGATAATCATAATAAAATAGAGAGTGAGTTCATGTCTTATATACCTCCAAGTCTGCAAACGCAATTTCAGGTTCTACCATCCAAAATTCAGCCAAATGCCTTGAAGTGTGAGAATTCTCAGCTCGGAATGTTGGGCCAAATGTATACACACTACTAAGAGCACACACATAAGACTCAACTTGAAGCTGACCAGAAACAGTCAGAAAAGCTTGACGGGCAAAGAAATCTTTAGTATAATCTACCTTTCCGTCCTTTCGAGGAATACCAGGCTGAAGTTTAGATCTTTCCTCTAACTTCGACACATTCTCTTTTGCTTTTTTAAGTTCATCCACAGAAGCACTAATCTCTTTCTTATTAGCTTTCGCAGATTTCAATTGCGAAACAACCTCTCCTTTCTCCTGAACAACAAGCTTAGCGGCCTCAATATCAGCTTCAGTTGGAGGAGGATTCTGTATCAAATCCTTCTCCAACCTCTCTGCTTCACTGAACAAAGTTGTCACTTGAAACATTTCACCAGCACCCTCACAATCACTCGTCGTCACAATCGGCGTATGCACATAAAGAAATCCATGCTTGTTGAAAAAAGTATGTGTAGCATAAGCAAGTGCATTCCGAATCCGAGCAACAGCAGATATCTGCAATCAACTCACACTCAATAATTACATAACATGCATAAATCAATTTCAAGTTTGCATCTATAAATCAAAACTCAATCCCAAAAACTGCAACAACAAATTAACCTTAACCTGCTAACTTACATTTCTAAATTCAATTCAATTGTTAATTATTTGAACAAGAAACGTACCGCGTTGGATCGGGAACGAAGATGAACGAAATCTCGTAAGAATTCAAGAGTGAGTCTCCCTTTAGGCAAAGGATATTTGGAAGGATCAACAGGACCTACATGCAGAACCTTATCAGCGCGAAGCTCGATCTTCTGCTTAGTACCGGCGGGAGGCAGTTTGAGATGGCCATCGACGACGACGCTAGTTCCGGTGAGAACGAGTTGTCCGAGGTCTGAAAGCGAAGCTTCGACGATAACTTGGAGGTTTCCGGCGCATGATCCGTCGTTGAGTTCCAAGAAAGCGAATGCGTCTTTATCGGCTTTCCTTCCGGTCTTCACCCAGCCGCCAATCCTAGCCTTCTTGCCTGCTAAACCTGAGCCGCCGTCTTCGCGGCGGATTATGGATTGGATCGGGACTCGGTCTGAGAATTCTGCTTTGGGGATCTCGTCGGAGTCGAGTGTGACGGCGGCTAATTGGTCGGCCGGAGGAGGAGATGAGATGTCTGACATTGTTGTGGGCGGTAATAGATACTCCGACTTCTAGATAAAACCCTAATATGAAGATGGATTATGGAAAAGTTCTGAAATGTTTTTTTATGAACCATTTTAGGGGTTTGTATAATTTGTGAATTTTAATTTTTACCCACGTGTCCTATTACCCCTACGTTTTTCTAATATTTTTTTGTAGCTACAAATCAACCAATCAACTTCAACTATCTTATTATGTCTTTAATTTAATTTTAAAACATTTAACGTGGATAGTTGATTAATCAAATATAAATAAAGATATTATAGTAAATTTTATTTTTATTTGTACATGAAATCAATAAAATTAATTACACTTAATCAATTTTTTTAATCTGTGTAAAAATAATTATTTTGACTTATAATATGATCCGAGTGAATAATTTATATAATTTATATAATATATTAAATTCAACCCATCGAATATTATAACAACTAATCATCAATTATAATTTTAAAAATTATCAATTATAACTTTAAAATTTATTACATCATCCTATTGTCTTATATGACCTATCTCAAAACTCATTTTCAATTTTTAAAATATCAAATACATCATTAATTATAACTCTAAAAATCTTCAACTATAACTTTAAAACTTGTTACGTCATCCTATAGTCTTATATGACGCATATCAAAATTCATTTTCATTTTTTAAAATGTCAAATACAATATATTTCTATAAATTAAAAGTCACGGGTTCGAATTCTCGCAAAGACGGAATAACATCTCATTTTAAATAAATTGGTCTAACAAACCAATCGTTATTGGAAATCGAAACACAATAAAATATTTTTTGATATTCTAAAATTATAACAATAAAAGTAACACTTGAAATAAATATTTTTAATCTTAAAATAATTCTTACATAATTTTTAAATATTAGTCACTTTAAATTTATTTGAAAATATATTTCCTCTGTTTTTTTTAAGTGTCACTTTTGTGAAAAAATTATGTTTCTTTTTAATTGTCACTTACAAAGTTTAATGTAGTAATGATTATAGTTTTGTCAAAATTACCCCTAACTATTTATTATGGAGAAAGAAAAAAAGTATATCGAAATAATTAAAAGTTAAGGGTATTGTAGGCAAAAGAAAAATTATAAGTTTTCTTGGTATGTGTGAAAAATTCAAAAGTGACAATTAAAAATGAATGAAAGGAGTAATATAGTATGCAACAATCTTTTACTATGTCTATATACTTTACAACTATATTTTTTATATAAAATCAAATAATAAACTAATGACAAATAACAAAATATCATGCAAAAAGAGAAGAGAAAATTCAAACACAATAAAATATTTTTGCAAAAGAGATGTGTTAAGATAGTTAATTAGTTGATTAATTTGTAATTAATTGGTTAATTAGCTGATATTTTAGCTTCCCGTCCAATTCATTTTTTAATTTATATAAGAGATAACTATCTCCTCTTTTGTGAGGTTGAGTTGATTTACTCCTTTATTAATGAACATTATCCTCTTCTTCTACCTTCCATTTCTTGATTTTATCTTCTTTATGCTTAACTGCAATTACCTCAATATGGTATAATTCACCATCTGATTCATCTTTCGCAACTGTTTCTCTGATCTTTTCCCCTTTTCTTCTTCCTCATGGCACCGACGCGGAATCAACCTCTAGATCTAATTTTCGATCCAAACTCGTCGTATTTCGCCTATCCCAGCGACGATCCCAGCTCAGTCACGATTTCTCTAAAACTTACCGGTTCCAACTACCATTTTTGGGTGTGTTCTATGAAGAGAGCTCTCAGTGACGAGTTAAAGCTTGAATTCATTGATGGAAGTCTTGCTCCTCTGATTGACGCATTTGATCCTTTGTTTTGAGTCTGGAATCGCGGTAACATATTGGTACATTCTTGGATTATGAACTCTATTTATGATTCTATCGCTCAATTAATTGTTTTCATGGAAAATGCTATTGATGTATGGAACGGCCTCAAAGAACGATTCTCACAAGCTGATCTCTTTTGTATCTTTGAATTGCAACAAGAAAATTTTAATATCAAACAAGAAGAAAATTTTGTAACTGAATTGTTTTCTGACCTAAAGGTTCTTTAGGAAGAACTCGATTTATACATACCTTTACCTATGTGTACTTGTCGTATTCAATGGCTTGTGAACTTATGCGTAGTGCTAGATCAAACCACAAACTATTACATATCATTAGGTTTTTGACTGGCTTGAATAATAATTTTGTTGTGGATAATCTCAAATTTTGTTAATGGAACCTGTTGTACCCCAAAATTTGCACTCCCATATTCTTCAAAATTTGCCAAGTCAAAGCTTCAAACATCTCCCCAAGGGTTGCACAGTTCAAGGGCCTCCTAACAGTCAAAAATTAGGGTTTTGGTTCTGACAAAGAAAATGAAGTTTCCAAGGGTCCAATCAAGTCTCACATGCCTACAAACATGGTCAAGCATCCTCATACCAGGTTTCAAGACTTACAGCACAAAATTGCACAGTCAAAAACCCTAATTGCACTACAGTCAACTGTAGGGGCAAAATGGTCATTTGACAGTCAAAAGTCCAAATTTTTGGTCAACATCTCATTTTGAAGCCACAAACATCATTTGATCAATGCTTGATCATGATTCTCAAAGCTTGGCTCAAAAATCATCAAGATGCAAAAGTTTCCATATTTGGATAGTTGAAAAAGTCAACTGTAACTTGACCAGGGCATAACTTTCACATGGATTAGCATAAAAATTCCATCCAAAGCTCATTTTGAAGATAAAGACATTTCCTACAACTCCTCTTCACACTTCAAGTCCAAGAAATGCTCTCACAAAAAGTTATCAATTTCAACATTATAGGTCATTTTCAAAAGTCAACAAAAAGGGACTTTAAGTCAAAGGCCATAACTTGAGATTGGTAAATCAAAATGACATGGGACCAAAGACATTGGTTATAGGACTCAAATACCTTTCCAAAATGTCCAAGAACATGAGCAAAGCTTAAAAATTGAGCAAGTTATGCCTCGTGGAAGTTGGGAAATTTTTGGATATTTTGAAAAGTCAACATTGCTTCAAATGACCTAAAATTGCTAATGGGCCTCTTTTTCTTCCACAATTCATCATCCAAGGCATGTGCACGACCATTTGGCCCAAAGGGAAGTTTTTGTCATTTTTATTTTATTTATTTGGATTTTTAATTATCAATAATTCATTTAATTAAAATAAATAGGTGAAAAATACTAAACCTAATTTTCTAAATCTTTTTGTGCATAGAATAGGCTTAAGATTTCGTGTACAATCAAATATGGAGAGAATTATGGTGATTGGATATGATTGAGACCAAAAATGCTTGAAAAAGATTGGAAAAATTATGGCTTGAAAATCAAATATCCTTTTCATCAATTCATGGATTTTCTGATCAAATTCTTTGACCTAATCATTCACAGGTATATATGCAAGCTAACCCTACTCCTCAAAAACTCCCAGCTGCGCAGAAGAGCCATAAGCAAACTTGAATTTTTTCAAGAAAACTCCAATACTGAAAACTAAGTTGGAGGGCGATTCAAGTCAAAATACCTATTCCATTGGCTTGCTGAGGCTTCAAGGAAGGAGATTGAATCAATAGCATAGCCTGAAACCTTGAGAATTGGTAGATATAAGTCAAACTGTATCACTCTTTTGGCATAATCGTGTTTTGATTTTTAGGCCATATCCATGCATTTTTGTTCTTGATTTGTGTTAATTAGATGATTCTGAAACTAACCATGTGATTGAATTGAGTTTTTGTGCATTGTATGAAGATTTGCCATGGATGAGTATTAGGATTTTTCAAGTTCTAATTTGGGCGTTTCGTAATATGGTAAAATTGAGACACCATAATGCCATGAACGAACTCAGCATGCTTGGACGATTCAAAATCAACCCTCGCGCCTAATTTATGTGGCCGGACGGCCTAATCGCTATTTTTCATAATGTTGCTTTTGGGGACGGTTCAAAACCGTTGCCCATTCTTTTTTTATTTCAGGAAAAAAACAAAGCCATGGAGAAGACGATTATGTGGCCAAGACTGATTGGTTCATTTAAACTTTCGCGCGCAAAAAGGCACTAACTTTCGCTTTATTTTATAATGTTTGTTGGTTAGGTAATATACAAAGAAACCAAATGGAGCAGTTGGCAAGGCGTGTACATTGGTGAACCACAGGACCTGGGTTCGATCCCAGGTCCCCACCCCTTTCATATTATTTTGTTATTAATGCTTGTGTACAATCTCAATACTAGTGTCCATCATGCATCCACGTTATCAAGCCGTCCACGCGTCCCACTGCACTCAATCAAGGGACCAGATCTGGAGACTATGATGAACCTCAGTCAATACACAGGCATGCTAATCAAAAGGTCAACGAGGCCAAAACCTTAATGGGCTTAAAATGCTAACAATTCACCTCCTACTGGGGACAGAACCCCCCAAGGTTTGCAAGTTTCTTTTATATTTTTTTATTCTTTTTATTTATTTCAATTATTATTTTTAATTAGTTCTTTAATTTAATATTTTCATAAAAAATATAAAAAAACACAAAAAATCAGAAAGGACAAAATTAAAATATATTTATTTAATTAATATTTTTTTGTAAATAAAATTCATTAATTAACTTAGTTTTAAATCTAGGATTAATCTTAACATTTTTCAATAAAACCTAAAATTGGTAGAATTAGGGTTTCTAGCATTTTTCATCTTTTTTTTTATTTTACTATATTAATTATTAATTCTTAATTAGTTATTTTTATAAATCAAGTTGCAATTAATTAATTAGGCTTAATTTTAGATAATTGTCATGTTTTCTTAATAAATAAAAAAATTGTAGAATTAGGTTTTTTAATTCCATTAAAAGTCATAAAATACAAAAAACCAAAAAATAATTTCTTTTTATTTAATTTAATTAATTTGCTGATAATTTAATTTCCTCAAAAAGGGTCCAACGCCCTCGTTTCTAATCTTAATTCAATTCGCGCGTTT